AAAAGTTTGCTCTAGCTTTCAGTTTTCCTTGACACAACTTTAGCTATATAGCCATTATGTGATTAACATCTTGTAATGCAAAACATTTTTTTTAAATTATTTCAACAATAAACCAACTGCCTACATTTTATATGCAGATCATATACAGCCAGTGACCAGAAAACAGAGAGAGAGACTAAGGAATAGACGAAGAAGACGACAAAGGTGGACCTGAAGCACATCTTTCATCGCAAAGCCACCAGGAAAAACTGATCTAAAAACTGAGCACTTGCAAGTATGTACAGGTGCAAGGATTGCAGCTTGTAAACTTCAGATTTAAGAAGAATATTCTGCAGTCATGTGAAAAAAACATCAGCACACAGCAAACCATTGTGAAAATAAGCAATGTCCTGCTTCCTTCACAGATTTTCTGGCATTTAGATCCCACATGCACAGGAAACACATTGTAAACCAGATAATAAAAAAACAAACTCAGTTCAGAGGTACCCTTGCTTACAAAATTGAAAGATGTTCATTTGTGGCAGATAATTTCTCAGCTTTGTGTTCTCATTTAAGAATTCACATTAGAGATGGAAAGAAGGTTTACTGCCCCTATGATAACTGCTGCAAATATTTCAGAGTCAGATCATCCTTTTCTGCACATATTTCAAGGAAACATACACAAGTAACCACTGCCCAAATGTCAAGTCCCACAGAAATGATCAGTGGTACGCCTGAGTGCAATCTTTGTCTTTCAACAACAGATGATCATGAAGAGGAGGAATATGTTGAGCATGAATCATTTTTACATAATTTGGCCCAGTTTTATTTGAAAATGCATGCAAAAATGCAGTTGCCAGCTAGCACCATACAGTACATTAATGAAGGATTTCAGCATGTTCATACCTCTAGTTTGGCAGACTTGTTTTCCGAGTTGAAAGGGAAGCTTTTAGAACTGAATATTCCGCAAACAAAAATAGATGAAATAATTCATAGTCTCCGTAAAGAGGGTCTCTTCACTCTATACAGTGAAGGACCACTGAGATCAGACAAAACAAGAAAACATTCTACAAGCAGCATTTTATTATATCAGACATATCAGTCAATACAGATTTATCTGGGATAATTGATAATGCTGGTAAGGAGTGCTTTTGCCAGTATGTTCCTATCAAGGAGACATTGCAAACTCTCCTCAGACAATCCAGTGTTAAAGAACAGTGCATCCAAGCAAGATGTCACAACAGTGATGACATGGTTTGGGAGGATGTAATGGATGGCAAACATGTCAAAGAAAATTCTCTCTTAGAAAGCATTTCCTCATTGTCTCTCATCCTTTACCAGGATGCATTTTGAAGTTACAAATCCACTTGGCTCAGGGAGAGAGAAAAAAAAAACCAAGATCTTAGCAGAGTCTTGGTGAGTTAAAGCCACACAACCGCTCCCTATCCCATGCAGTTGGTCCTACTGTGCAGAGAGAATGACTTAAAGATTTTTGGACTTGATAAGTTGTTTTCAAGTATTATCACAGACCTTAAAGATTTGGAAGATGCAGGGATTGATACAGATGTTGGCATTAGAAAAGCATCTTTAATTTCCATTTGTGGCGATAATCTTGGCTCCCACCGTATTGGTGGCTTCAGTGAAAACTTCAGTATCAGTATACATTTTGCAGATACTGCTTGATTAACAGAAGTGATTTTCAGAAGACCCTCTGAAGTTAGGTCCTAAAAGAACAGTTGAAGTTCACAAGAGCGAATGTGAGACAGCTTTCCACCACTGGCCAGGGAGTCAAGTTTGACTCACCTTTCAATTCATTGAAACGTTTTCATGTTTGTACTGGGCTACCTCCATGTTTGTGTCATGATCTATTTGAAGAAGTCGTTTCCTATGACTTGGCATTGTATATGAA